ATAATCTTAAGTGATATGAATTTGAAGATTTGGTTTAAAATGATCTTCTCAAAGATTGGAGGTATTTTATTATTCTCACATAAAGTTTTTCTAGAGAATTGTAATGTTAAACAATGCGAAACGAGGGTCATAACACATTGTTGTTGAATGCTATCTACTCATTTTTTTATGAACAGACTTGATAGCTTTGTTTATTAAAAACTAGCTAATCATTGCGCCAACTCATAGTTACTAAAAGTGAGTAATTTACATCAATGAAAATTATTTAATATCGATTTGTGCTGTTCTAATAACTACAACATCTAAAGTTATTCACTACAAGTTACCTTTAATGAATAGAGGGTTCTGTCAAGTAATCATATATTTTTATTAATAATATTAGAAAACTATTACTTCAGAAATGATATGAAATCTTGAATACGATTGTAAATTGTAAATTGGGTACTTTTCTTGAAGACCAATTTAAACTGGTAATTCCTTATACTTTGCAAGATATATTCAACAACTAAATAGTAGGTAGTTGAAAAACTAAACATTCTAGCGTATAAAGCTGAATTACTAATTAATTTTAACAAAAAAGCTAGTTTTATGAGTAACATGAAATTATGATTCTTACTGAAATAAACGGAAGCTCGCCTTATTATATTAAAGAAATCAAGAACGAATTAGTCAAATCTGATCACTGAATCAGGTAAAAAAAATTTAACAGAATAGTGTTCAAACCGTACTATGTTCGTCTATTAAGTAAATTCAATCCATCTATGTGTATTACAGTCATATATATCTGGCAGCTTGTAATTGATGTAAGATCGACTGGAAAAAATGAAGTAAGAGGTTTTTATAAGTAATTAAGCAAAACAATGTTCTAAAGTTTTGTTGACATTTAATTGCGTAATCGAAAACTATTTTCATAAGTGATTAATAATCTCTGCTCTAACAACCTTACCAAACGTGTAATGTAAGTCTAATATTAGCGATTATTGTTTGCCAAAAGTTATTATTGGTAATAAGAAATAGGTTTGCAAGGTTTAAAGTTCTAAAATCTGTTTATCGAAATTATTTGACACAATTTATACATGAATTTTAATTTCAACTAGTTTTTCAAGTATCATAAAGTTGAGTTTACGAGTAGATCAAGGCTAAACCACCATTATAAACTTAGAAGCACTGGACGGCCGTTTTATCCTAGTATGGGACTCCTTAGAAGTGCGCATCCAAAAACGCAAGACCTTCGGTCTAGCGCGCGAACGCTGAACTTCTAGATCAGTGAGCAGGCATCCAAAAGTGTTTATGTTTAAATTCAATCGGTCCATGATTTTGCTCTACCATTCATCCATTGTCGAAAGTAGACTACAAAAGTTGTTAAAACACATACTGATTACTTGGCAAATTAATTTCCATCCTAAATCCTCTCTATTTTCTTTTTTAAATTTCATAATAAAAAACATTTTTAAATTGAAAGACGAAAATTGGCTAGCCGAAAAATAATGTAATCTCTGAAAAGTTAAACTATGTAAACTGATAATGAACAATGCTGTTTTCATGAAGTGCATTGATGCATATTTTTTTGATTTTCTGTTTCGTCTGAAATAATATTTTATCTTCATTAGTATTATATACATTTATTTTCTGAAAGTTAGTTAGTATATAAATTCCACACTTCGTTAATGAATAATAGATTGGGCATAGCGTAAAGAGCAATTTTATGAAAAAGTGCAACCGATCATAGAGAAATGCACAGGAAACGACTTGAACATCCTGATGGTAGACCTGAACGCCAGTCAGAGTGGAGAGCACTGAGTATGTAGATATTATGAAACTACACTGACTGACTGATAGAAAGGAATGAGAATGGTTAAAGATATGTAAATTTATGTGCAATCAACAAAGTGGTTAGGGGAGGCAAAATATTCCTACACAAACACGTTTACAATGCTATATGGGTCTCACTAGATCATACTTCATAAGAACCATGTCGATCATATTTACATTACTGAAAAATTCAAATTGATGAAGGACGTGACAAGTTGGAGAGGAACTGACATGGCTTCGAATCACCACTAGCTGGTGGTTGTCGAGATGAAACTGAAGCTAAAGAAGCACTGGACAACTGGAGAAACAGCATTTCAACGGTTCAATACAACCTCCCTCCGACATACTGATAAACTCAACAAATCTAAGCTAGCTCTCGACAACAGGTTCTGAGCCTTATAAGATCTCTTGGGAGACGAAGGAACCACTATGGAGGACAATTGGAAAGGGATGGAAGAAGCACTAACTTAAACGTGTCAGGAGGTTATGAGACCTCAGGAAGGATCATCATAAGGGGTGGATTTCTATCAAAACAATGGATGGGATTCAAAAAGGTAAGAACAAGTGGATAGCAATTAGTAACAGTCGAACAAGAACAGAGAAAGTGAAGGCACAATCTGAACAAACAGAAACAAACAAGTGAGTGGAGCGAAGCGTTAGAGCTGACAAGCAAAAATAGGTGGGATAACGGACAACGACAGTGGAAAAAGTTGTAACATAAGGAAATATGAAAAGACTATTCGACACAATGACGAATAAACTGGCAGCCAAATATAGTTAACGAGAGAGATCTGTCAAAAACAAAGAAGGTAAGTCAATCATTGAGATTGAAGAACAGAGAAACAGATGGGTTGAACACTTCGAGGAAATCTTGAATATACCAGCTCCATCGAATCCATTGGAGATCAAAGCAGCATAAACAAATATTCCTATCAATATCATTCCAGTAACGATCGAAGAAATGAGGATGGTCAGTCATTAGATAGATCAAGAGTGTGTAGGCAGTAGGACCTAACAATATACCATCTGAAACATGGAAGTCAGACACAGAAGTAACTGCAAACATTCTCCAAATTCTATTAAGGAAGATTTGGCAGGGAGAACAATTGCCACCGACAGACTGAAAAGAAGAATATCTCATGAAAGAAAGGAGATCCGACCAAATGTGAGAACCAACTACCGATGTATAACACTGCTAGGAAACGTTTTCAATGGATTGTTGCTGAATTGGATGAAAGGTTTCTTAGACACTCAGCTTCGAGATCAAGAGACTGGATGTCGTGGGGGCCAGTTGTGCACAGATCAAATAGTGACACCTCAGATCATTGTTGAATAATCAAATGAATGGAACTCGTCACTGTACATCAAATTCCTTGATTATGACAAGACGTCTGACAGTGTGGATTGTATGACGTTATGGAGACTTATTCGACTCTATAGCCTCGATCTACCCAAGGATGAATGCACAATCCTCAAATTCATCACGGAAAACGCCAACCCAATCACAATTGATGAAGAAACTCTGGAAGTAGTGTGAGCTTTCACATATCTTGGCACCACTTGTTATATCCGGTGAAGATTAAATTACAGGTAACTTCCGAGGACTATTCATGGACTAATATTCTATAAATATTCTTATTGTATAACTACTCAACAATTACACTATGTATATTTATATTCCTTTTATGATAAGCTTTATTTTGACCTACAATTTATTATTGTACGATTTACGGTTCTTAAGTTATGTTTAGTTTATTAACTACTGCCTCCCACATTCACAGCCACTTCTTAGGCTTATTTGTGTACAAATATTATTTCCTATTTTATGGTACGTTGCGGTCTGTATGATTGATATATAAACGAAGTATGCATGAAATAAACGATTCGATTCATATTCGGAAGCTGGTATTGTGTTCTGTATTCAAGTGGAAGGGCTCGTAGGACATAGGACCAACAAGGACGCTAAACTGCCCACACCGGTTGAACGTCATTGGTTGGCCTAGTGTGAAGATTCGTATAAGTCGTACTCGGATTGGTAGATAAGTCGTGTGATAGAAAGACCAGACGTCAAGATCATAACACCACTATCAATAGACATGGAAGATTCGATGCAGTTGTGAATGGAAGTGAGGAAAAAGAATGACATCATTCCGACAGTTGAAGAACACATGAAACTCAAAACAATCGTCAGTCAACATCAATGTCAGAATTTTCAATATATATATATCAAGACAATTTTGTTTTACGAAGCTGAATATTGGAGAACGGTTATCAAAATGGTACAAGTGTTTATAGACAACTGTCTACGCAGAATACTCATTGTCCGTTGGACGTATACATAAACGTTTTATGACAGAGAACATCCTAGTTTCCAACTGAAGAGGAAATTCGCAAAAGACGTTTGAGGTGGATAAGACATACATTGCGGAAATCCTCAAATTGCGTCACGAGACAAGGGCTAACTTAGAATCCTTAAGGTAAAAAGTAAAAAGAAAGACACAAGAACTCATTGCGTCCAGAATCGGAGACTGAGACCAACAGAATGAATGACGATTAGAAACTACCGGAAATGAGAGAATCCTAGTCGGCACCCTAAGCTCCATGAAGCGTAGCAGACGTAAGTAAGTATTTATGACTTTGAAAAAAAGTCATCATTCGGTTAAGTTATTCTTCTGACTGCTTCTATGAAAAACTAAGCGATTGAGTTAAAAGATCAACAGAAGTATATTTTGACACAATACATCATATTATCAAGTTTTATTTGGTGTTGTGCATGACCATCAACGAAATTATGGTTTAAAAGCAACCCACCTATAATCTGTCTATCTTTATTGATTGTGAGATTTGTGGAAGTCGACATCTACTGAGGAACTGATGAATAATAAATGTCTTTTTTCTTAATACTGAACTCACTGTACGAGGTTATGACAGGTGAAGTTCAATCATCGTGGAAGGAAAGTAGTTATCCACCAATAATACAAAGTAACTTTCATGCTTTATTTCAAAACTGTAAAATATGGAATTTTAGCTCAATGTTATTCACTCATTGAAAACTCTAAGGTCTTAATTTTCATCTTTGCGCCTTCGTCGTTGATACTTATTACTGAAATATATCATACTCGAATGAAATAACTTTATACTAACTCTATACAAACAAATTTCTAATCAAAGATAAATCAAAACATCACTTGATTATTATTTTCTTTTTCAAGAATTTTCTATGTTGTCTAAAAAGTACACTCAGTTCTAATTTAGCAAGAATTAGTAATCTTTCTTTTTTACCGTGTTTCTCTATTTATGTCAATGCAAACTGAATTCCTATCATTAAAAATAAATAATTTTTAAAAAAAACCCACCAAAACATAATAAATGTTATAGAGAATAATTACATTTTCTAAATAGTTTGGTTAATATGTGAATTGATAGTTAATCTTTTTTCATCATAGATTGTTGAAAATATCATTGTTTCATCCATTTTCTCCGCAGAATAACATACTACTGAAATAATCTATATCAGTAGTTGTAATAGTATCAAACCTATCTATATCAATTTTGTCTACATTATAGACGTTATACATGAAAAGAATCAGAATAAGGAAGTCAAAATATTATTGTGATTTTTCATTTGTTTTTTTAATAAATTAAGCATGTTGAATATGTTTTGTAAATGTATCAGTTGTATCATGGTATTTTAGTAAATTCATTTGGATGTTTAAAGATATGTGTTAAATATTACATAACAGATTACACGAAGTAATATAGATATATAAACAGTATAAAAACGAATGACAAAACTAAGAAGAATTACTTAATAAACTCCTTCTAAAGAATGAAAATTTCAATATTCAATATTACTGAAACAAAAAAAAAGATAAATAAAAAGAAACAAAAGAGCACAACCGCATGTTTTGATTCACCAGAAACAAAAACTTTGTTTTTCATAACCAAATTACATTTCACTAAAAAGTAAATAAATAAATCAATAAATAAGCATAAGAATAATAGAATAAGGATAATTTCAGAAGAAAATGTTTCACAAAACATTTTCTTTCTTTCTTTTTTTCTCTTTTTTTTTCTTTTCAATAAATTCTATTTATGATATAAAAGGTGTAATAAATTGAATATTTTCTTGTTCACAACCTTATTTATTGTAAGTTATCCTAAAAATAAACAATTTTTATTCAGTGTGTATATAATTATAAATTAACGGTAATATAAATTATGATTTTGTAAATATTCCATATAGAATAAAATGTATTTTTAGTTAGATATGAGCAGTTGAATATTGGCAATAATACAATGATATTGAAAGTGGATCATTTATTATTTAAATGTATACAAAGATACAATTTCAAAAGAACAAAAACAAACAAACAAATAAACTTTCATTTCATTTGAAAGAAATGAAATAAGAATTTTTGTAATGAGGAATTAATTTGTGTGAGTACAATTCCTTTTTATATTGTTTGTATCTTCATTAATTTCCTGAGTAAACATTGACACAACTTTATTTCATAATATAACATACAATTTATATTTTTAATTAGATTTTTTTAATTCATGATCATTAGTTCTTTTGTTTAATTGATTTTTTAATTGATCTGATTTACGTAAAATTAGATCATTATCAATAATATTTTCTTCAGTATATTGTTTTAATATATTTGATTGTTGATCAACTAATCGTTGATAAGGTGACAAATAATTATTCATATTATCTAATGAATTTGTCATATCATATTTATGTTTATTTTCATTAATTAAAATGGTTTTTTCATTATTTATTATATCTAAATTTATCGATTTTTTAGTATCTAAGTTATTTAATTGTTTATTGATTTCTATTGTATCCATAAATTGATTATTGTTATTATTATTAGGTAATTCAGTTGTTTTCATTTGATAATTATTTATTGTAATTGTTTCATTTTCAAAAAATGTTGAATTATAATTTTTTAATCGATATTCACGTAGGAATTCTACAACGTTATATTCAGATGAACGTGGTATTAATAAACCAAATGCTGCACATAAATGTATAATTAAATAACATATAAAAAATATTCTATCCATAACAATAGCTATCATACGCCATTCTTTTATAATAATATTTTCTGTATCTTTCTTATCGATTCTTGATAAAAATAATTTAACAATTGAACGTATATCATTTACTTCATTTTCTATATTTTTCATTAATATTAATAATGTTGATGATAATTGTAAATGTTGTATTGTTGTTTTATCCGAATTCATATTTGTTATAGTTGAGTTAGTAATTAATGGATTATTATTAGATAAATATGATGTAGTTTTAACTAATGTAGATGATTTTAATTGTAAATTTGTATGATTAGTAGTTAATTCATTAGAATTTAAATAATTACGTCCATGTGGTGATATAAGTGCAGGTCTACTATTACGATATTCATATCTAATATGTGAACATAATGAATTACTATCAAATGGTATAGATGAATTAGTTATTGAATGACGATTTATAGAAAAATAATCATTAGGATGTGTTTTAAACATTAATGCATTAAGATGTTGTTTACAAACATTACAATTTTCAGGATGTTTTCCATGTTTTGAACTTTGTATTTTTGGATTTAATATTCTTGAATTTGTGGAAGTATTTATAACTGGTAATGGAGTACAAACAGTACAATGAGTTGCTGGTGCATATGATCGATAATAATATTGACAACATGTACAAGGTTGTTGAGAATTACCTAATATATCACAATCATTAAATTTTGATGGAGTTAATGAACGACTGCGTATTTTTGATAACTTTGAATGACATTGACATGATCCCATGAGTTGTTGTGAATTTGATTCTTTATTAAAGTTATCCGTTTCAGTTTGTGTTTCACAATGACGCTGATTCGGTCGATATCGTTTATGTTCAGTAGTATCAGTATCATAATCATAATTATCTACAATTAAAGTTTTTAATCCATTATTCTCTTGTACCATAGCAAAACGTGCTTTACCCTTTTTAGAACGCTTCATTCCAATAACAGATCCAGTATAACCTGATATATCTTGTTGTTCGTTGTTTGAATTAACTAATGCTGACTTCATTTGTACCATTTGTGATGAATAATCGTTTTTATTTTGGTTGACTGTTGTAGAATTTGAATTACTGACAACAACATCTAAAGGTGTATTTTGATCACCTTCTTTACAGCTGCATTTACCATCACAAACACCATTCAGAATGTGACATAACTAGAAAATGTATAAAAACAACATCCCCTCCCCAAAATCAGTCAGTTCACTAAAGTAAAATGTTTTATAAAAAAATATTCATAATTCTTCATTTTTCTGTATTTATTTGATTACTGTAGTAAGTAGTTTTTCTCTCTCATTTTACCATACACATACAATGATTGTCCAACGTAACTACAAAATAAAATCCAACATTTTCAAACCTATCAAGCATACAGAACGAATTTGTTCTTTATGCCTAACTGACATTACCAATAAATGCTTGGTCAACTGCAAAATTGATTGTTGACATGGCATAAGAATGCTAAACAACAAATTCATTTATCTGATAACACGTTATGTTGAACTTTCAGATACTAATTTCAAATATTAATTGAATGTAAGCTAATCTTATTAAAACAAATTTTTCTCTATCGATTTTTATTATAGACATTAAAGAATTGTATTTCCTTCATTAAAATCCTTCTTCGATAAATTATATAATCATGAAAAGCTCTTTCCAATTACTATAACATTAGTCATATAACTTATGCCCATTTCACACTACTAAGCAGTTAATCAGTTATTTTTTTAAACACAGTAGGACTTACCCTTCGCAAGCACTGTGGCACCCTATTTCTTTTATCACCACGGAAATACAGATTAATCACAAATACAGAGAGAAAAGAAGATAATGTGATCAAAATCATGTTCAAACAGTAGTAATAACCTGTAGAAAACAAAAATGATAGATGATTAGTCAAAATTCATCGATTTACGCAGATTTTAAGGAGTTGCAGGTATTAAGCCTGATATATATTGTTAAATACATTGAATGCAGTATTATAAAGTCATAGAACAAACCACTGAGAATAACTTTTAAGTTATTCAATCATGAAAAATGAAGTTGAAAATAATTGTGGCAAAAACTAGTAGTATTCCTCAATTTATTAGTTCCATGGACAAATTATCCATCAAAAGAAAGTATATTTAATGTTAACTGAACAGTTTTAACTTTCAGATCGTTAAGTAGAAGCTTCTCATAAACCATAGTGTTGCTACTCATTTCGTAGCTGATGAAATCACGGGATAGAATACAATCAAATCGATTAATATTGGTGGTAATCGATTAAGAGAATTGTTAAGAATAACATCAAATTTCAGTTTCGTTTTTTTTCAGTGGAATATTGAGAAACAATAAGAGTTTACTACCAGTCAGCTTAAACTATCAAACTTAAATAATGGATTCCGATATTAAGTATCAACTAACAGAATGATAAGTAATATCTTCAATATATCACACTGTGGTACAGTGTTTTTGTATCAAAACCTTTAGATGTAGACGGATGATTTTTACTTTGTATCATTATTATTAGCTAACTGTTCGTTCTACAGAGAAAGTATAATCTGAAAAGTACTATTTCCTCACAAAAGGTTTATTAATATAAGAATTTACTAGAAAAATATACAACTTACCAATATAAGGAACACTGTTTGAGGCTTGTGGTGTAGAATCGGCCAGTAATAACAACAATAAAAAGAAGGCCACAAATATGTTCATTCCTTGAATGTTTCAGCAAATACAACAAAGGTGATATTATTCAAAGGTTTTTTTTTTCAAATTAAAAAAAGACTAAAAATGGTTACGTTTCTTACGGAATGCGTTGAAAATCTGATTTATAGCGTCATATATGATGATGAGAAAAATAAATGGACTTAGGTCTGTAAATAAATATTATACTGAGAATAAAGATTTTTAAACGCTGAAATTCCAATCTTGAACAAGGCCATATACTTTAACCAATAATATATAATATTCCAAAATGAACAGATGTAAACAAAGATGTCGAATCTTTACTACATAGTAATTGAAAGCTAGATTGAAAGTAGGCAAGTTATTTCATTGAAGGATAGTATGAATCTAGTTACTACATTGAGAGCCTTACATACAAAGTACCAAGAACTTTCAATTGAGATAATGATATGCATCAATTATGGTTGAAACAAACAGTTCATTTTGAAAGCGTTAGCATTAAAAATGACGCTGTATCAATGAGATGAATGCAACTGTGTACAGAGTTTTAAATGTAGATTCTGAACAGTAGTCATTTTGTTTTTAGCAATGCAAAGATCTGACACTAGATTTTCATCTATTAGCCGATATCTAAACATGTGTGTATTGAAGTCCATAAATAAAACTGCTTATTCACAAATGTAAGTTGAGCAAAAAAACTGCATTTTTTGAGTGTGAAATCTTTCAGCTTGTAAATGATAAATATAATTCTAATATGGTGACCAACAATTTCGTTTGACAGTTGAGTCTAAATTGATTGTAGTAGTCTATATAGTGTTGTTTCCTCAATCGTCAGCAATGTCTTATATTGTTTGCGACGCGTTGTCATTTTATACATAAGCACACCATTCAGTAACATAAAAATGTATTTATCTAGAGAGTGATATTCTCTTTGACCACTAACAATTTGGGGGCTTAAGTCAACAATACCGTTTTTGATGAGCTGCTATCACCCGGCTACATATCAGGAAAAATTATTAGCTCACTGAACTTTGGTTTGAACACCTTGAAATCTCTAACAAATCGCAAAAAATTCATACTTTAGGGTTGCAGTTTAGACTTTATTTCTTAGTAGGTTCTTATTGTACAAAAATTATAAGAAAAGGAGCGTAGCCGAGTTTTTTAAGTCGCTTGAACAATCAGCTATTTTAGATTTCAAACTTGACTTTCAATAGTTTTTAAATAAAATTTAATTTTTCAAAATATCACATTTCTGCCGGGTTCCGCATATAACTCCGAAAGATCTCACTGGCCTTATTCTGACTGTTTACTTGTGGTTTGTCCACCTCTGCATAAGATAAAGTATGTGATAAGGGAATAAACATTTTTACCGTAAATAATTTACACTGAGCTTGCTTACCAAGAACCATCTTTGCAGGTGATTCTGGAGGTAACCAGAAAATGACAAGTGTCAATGATGCCAGTAACACACATGGTAGAACCAAAATGTATGAAAAGAATGCAGCATTCCTTCTTAGGCTGTAAAATATTTTTGAAATATCAACTCTTTTGAAACAGATTCATACAGATAACTCAATAAATAGAATTTAATAATGAATGGTTTTTTTAAATTGTAAATTTACTATTCAGGTTGAATTAGTTATGAGGAAAACACGCTGGGTATACGTGCTTTAAATGTGAGTGATTTGGTTCGTGAGTATGATATATTTATCAGATAGAGGTACGACATTACATAAGGTGAGTACCCTGAAATAGATTCAGCCCATTTTACATACCTATGGTCTCGTAACATTTCAGTTTTTATTGCAAGTACTTGATCCGTGACCTTTAATAGTAATGTATCTTTTAACATTTAAGTTATTCTTTTCTGATAATGAAGAAATAATATCCACCGACTTATACACTTTACCTTGTTAATCACTTTAATATACTACCACTTCTACAACTACTATTACTATTATTGCTACTACCACTGTAATTGTCTTTTCATCACGTTTTATATCGTTCACTATCAAACTTTGAATGTAGAAATTTCTAAGGAAATAAGGGAAATCGATTTTATAGATCACTAAATTCTAGGAAATTTTAATTAAATCTGATGAGGAACTATTTTCTTTTTTACATCCAACCTCTTCGTCAGTTTATTAATAATTAGGTATTCAAATAGTGATCATGAAACTGATGAAATTTATGTTTCCTAATGTTAAACATTAAAAAATCGCTTAAGGTAACATTTTAAAAACAAACTTGTTAAATATATTAAAATGTCTCTTATCATAATGAGGTGAATCACATGAATATCACAATGAAATTTAAAAAGGTAAAATTTAGGTTTTCGTTGTATTACAAAAGATAACAAGGTACTACATGCTATCAGACATTTTCTATTCATATTATAGTTGTCATTGTAATACAAGTGTTATAAAACCAAGAAACGCAGGATCAGAAAAGAATCTTAAAGCTCATTTTTTTCTTTGCATTTATACAAATCTAATCCTCAACATTTACCCCGGAGTATTATGGAACCTGAAACTGTACTGGACTTTTCGGCTGCAATTTCTTCGTTTTAAAGAACTATGCCTATAACGAAAATCGAAGGAACTAGATCTCAGCATTGGTAGTTACGTGCGCATACGCTGCTTAAAAGTCCAGAGCTACGAAAAATTTATCGATATACTGTTCCTTTGTGCTGTATATAATTTAAACAAATAAAACTGACCAATCAAGATAAACCTAGAAATGTTACAATTTGTCAGGTTGTTCAATGTTCTGCAGAACTCTAATAACATTACGAATAATTTCATTTGAAACGACTAATCATCTGACAACACATTCACTGCTTACAGTCTCACCGTGCAGGGTTATGTTTATCTCATTAGACTTTCAAGTAGTACTTTGTGCAAGGTTTAAAAATATAGACAGTTACTATATCAAATATAATAAGAACTTACAATAGAAAGAAAGTTAAATCAGGATAAAATTCTGGACAACAAGGATATGATTTTACATTCCTTAAAGCTGGACGTGCAATTACTTCCCATTCATTACTTTCTGTATAATCACTTAACAGAACTTGTGCTTCATTATTAATAAAAGAAACATCTAATTTATTTCCATCATATGTCCAAGATCCAAATTTCAAATGACATGTTTGTTCATCAAATGGAAACGATTTTATATCTATTTTACATGAAGATTTAAAAATTGCAGGTGGAATCCAGGTTAATTCTCCAGTATGTTGTACGATAACCATAGCATCACGCATTTCTTTTAATCGTTCATCGGCGCTAGAATATAATGAAATAAAATAGAAAACCATATCAGTGAAAAGTGAATTATGTTTTGATAGATGTTTGAAATGAATGCAAGTTTTTTACTATTCCGAAGAACTCATTAACTCGATATAAATTATAAAATTTTTCCTAGTTGATGGTTATTAAACTCTGATTGCTTCTTTAAAACAAAATTTAAGCCTTTTTGAAGTCTCGTAAGTTTTGCCGAAATAGTTAAATAGCATAGGTTGGATCCCAACTCCGCTTGGAGCCTCTTTGGCGCTACTGTCGTTCCGAAGCCCGGATAAAAGGGGAGGGTTTGGAATAGGGTTAACGACCTTATCCCGTAGAAAACTAACTCGCTAAAAACTCACTAACCAGTAACTTTGGATCCCAGATCTTTGAAGCTAGTTATGAGTATCCTCATTTTAAATCATTTAGTGAAAATCAGTTTATACAAATTTCCAAAATTTAACTCATTTTTTTGATAACTTGATGATCAGTCAGTATCGCTGATAATTTCTATGTTTTTGACGACATTACTGAATTCAAACAGTTACGTATGATCTGGAGAATCGAATAAAATTTAAAATATAAACCATATGATATGAACTTTGTAGGTTAAAATAAGGTGGTGGTAACAAAGTTTGGATAATGTAAGTTCAACTTCGTCTGGTCATGTATATGCACTTATCATTTTATAGCTATTTAGTGTTTTTGGTCGCTTGTGAATATTTAGTTGACGTGACGTTAAATGTTTTAAAACTGGGTGAACCTTCAAAACTACTCAATTGACGGAAATATAAGTATACGACATTTGTTTTACAAATGCAACGAATATTTACCATGTATTATCATTCATAATTCATTACTCACTATAAAGACCTTATATACTGATCATTAAAATCCTGTTTAATATACTCTAGCAAACACACATTTGATGAATATTCTTATTTCAATAATAAGGCATTATATGCACATTTTAGATCATTGTATGTATGATTTTTCGAAAAATATATCATATACACCACTGATCAAGAATTGCTGATGAAGTAGTTACAGAGAAAGTGAAAGTTATATTTTCACAGAATATGATTATTATAAAGATAAATGTAGGAAAATGAGAATGTAGGGGTATAAAATATGAAGGTTTTCATCCCCAAATTGTGTGATGTACAATCCACCAGTTATCTAAAATTAGTTATGTAGATGTGTCGGAATTAACATTTATCCTTCACATCACTGACGCGGCATCCAATTATTCAACATATCTAACTTCTACACGTACACTATTGAACTGCAGATATACGTTCTAAAGATTAAACGCTTGATCCTTTGTGGGATCGTGAATACACATTTCTGAAGTGTCTTATATTAAATAGAAGCTGGTGTTCAATGCTTCCTAGGTTACGATAGTTATATAAACAACATTAGTCTGTGACCCCAATTGTGAATTTAATTAACTGTTTCTGAAGTGGATCAACTAATCAATTTAACTTACTAGTTATATAATACAATATCCGGTGTCCAAATGTGTTTATATGGAACACGGACTTCTTGAATTTGTGAATAATTGTCTGGATTCCATTTCAGAATATGATCGGTCCAGCGCTGAAAATGTATAATACGTAATCATGTATGTTTAAATTACATTCAATGATATAAATGTTCAATATGACATTTATTTGCTTGAAAACCGATTATCTACAGTCAGTTACAGTTCTTTTCGAAATTTGTAAATCAAGCAACTAAGCAATATGATATTCGACTGCATTGTATTTTGTGTAAGTTGTGTATAAATAACTAAAAACCTAACTCTAAAGTACTTTGCATATTTATGATGTCAAAATTGGTTTCCATTTACTGGACAAATTGTTTCTTAATCATACATTTATATACTTAATTAGATGGATTCTTATCTTCTTTGTAATAGATTAAATAATCATCCTAAAGATGGAAAGGAGAAGTTGGTTTTAAAACTTATTTTCTTGTAAACAAGAGCTTTTGAAATATCTTATGTATGAATGTTCACTAGGTATGTTTCTTGAGTGATCTTACTTTCCGAATATACATCTTAAATACTTATGTAAAAATGTTTCTACTATTTGAACCTATTCACCAAATGTGAACATATTGTATTTCTAATGTTTCCCATTTATATTCACTACTTTTGAAAATAGCGTACTGTCCTTCGCTGTCTTGTAATAACATTAAAGCAGGAGATGATGCTTTAATGTATTAATTAGTTATTTTAATATTTTGATTATAATCAATTTGAATAATTAAAAATGTTTTAATATTTAGGTGATAATTTGTTTCATGGACTTATGAATCTAAACGAAATATCGATAGTGTATTGATGAAAATGAGCCATGGATAAATTTCCAGCAAGCTACCTAATCTCTTAGTGGTTATAGCTGAGTAATAGCTTAAAATGTATCACTTCACGATTTTGTCAACATTATCCCTAGATATATGAATTTCTATTGAAAAATAATGTTCAGATCAGTATAAAGGTTTGATGCAAACAAAACCGTTACGATAGAATAGAAAACAAAATCATGGAGTGTGCAAGTTATCTTCCACGATTTAACATGATTTCTATATCTTAACAAAAATGGTCATAATTAAGTGTTGAACCTATTTACAACATGAGATTATATTGAAAATAAAAATAAACAGTTAAAAGATAGATATATTTAAACAATATATACAGTTGGAATCCTTCTTTCTTCTTTCTTATCATTAGTCAAATTTTTCAGTCAAGTTGACCTGATACAAAGTACTAATGTCAATTATAATGAAGTCAAAAACTAGTTAGTAAAGTAATCAAACTAATTCAGTTTAATGATCTGAATAATTGAAGCTATTCAACCAATTTACTAACTAACAAAATATACTTTTTGTTTGTTTAAATTATTTCTTGAAATAAACAGTTCACATCTTCAGAATTTGCAAATAAACAAACAAAAAAAGACCTCTTTTTTTAAAAATAACTTTTCTTCATTTTTGTCTTAACTCCTTTTATTTCGTTTAATTTATCAATAAACCATATAATTTGCCAACCAATATCTGTTGATCATTGAATCAATTAATCAACAATAATAAAACAAAAATCTATAGAAATTAATAATAAAATTTAGGTCAACTAAAACTTTATTTATTACTGTAAATAATAGAAAATGCAACTGTTTTTGTTAGTTGTATAACTCAAAAAAAGGCAATTCATTTATAATTTCAGCGCAATATTTAATTAATGAGTAAGTAAGAAGTGAATTCAGCGAAGAATATTTTCTTTTCGACGAAATCATTTATATAAGAGAAGTGTTTTACTTTTCTATTCAATTCTTATTGTATTAAGTGTTGATTTGGATGATAGTGATAATAATAATAATGATTGTTGTTACCAGAAGAAGTATTTAATAAAACAGAGAATAAAACAATTCAATCAATAAAAGAAAGAAAAGAAAGAAAGGAAGGAAGAAAGAAAACAATCGAATACAAAGTGAACGAAATCTCACTTATTTTGTTTATTTTTGTTGTCATTTGTTTACTGATTGAATTAATGATATACTAGATGGGATGATCAATAAATTTATCAACGATTCACTATAAACAAAATTCTATATATCCATGTATATATCTTAGTTATTTATAACAGATAAAGAAATATAAACAAATGAAAAGTAAAATGACGCATTATTACATAATTTAAGTGAATACATTCTTAATCTATACAATAGAAACATAGTAGGAAAGTGATTTATCAAAATATATTACAGAAACTAAACGATTAGGGTGTAATATTCTGTTAATCTTCGATAAGTTATTATTAAAATTTAAAGTATTATAGTAGTTTCAACTATAATTTGTTAAGTTTGAAGATAATTATTCATTATATACTTGAATCAATTAGAAAAATGATTGAAGATTGTAAAGGAAATAAATAGTTATTGAATTTTGTTTTTCCACTTCTTAACAGTGTACAAACATAACTGTTGACATGTTCTCTGGTTGATGTGGTCTATTAAGATAATTTTCTTCAACAGTAGAATTAATTGTTTAATGGTAAAAAGGTGATGAAATTGTAGTGTCGGTTATTATGTTAAGCCCATATACCTTATTCTAGCTATCGGATAGCCCAATCTATTCCTTCTACTTGAATCACATTTTGACCTTGTTAATTATCCGCTTGTCAATCTTGACTGTTTTTATATGATCGCATATGTGTGTACTCTACTTATTCCATTACTCATCAAATGTCTCTAACTTATTTTCGTGTGACTATAAATATTGATTAGCGCTTGACTAAAAGGGAGTTGGCTTACCCGCCATCTCCACTGCCAGTCGTTCCTCTTCTTTCTATACCATTCGCTTTATATACAAAATATATGTATTCACAAGTCCATTCTCGTTATTTGACTTATTTAGTTCCGTTATTGACTAACGCGATTTAAGTCGATGATTATATACGAGGATAGGTGATAACAAACATTCATACGATCTACTTGGAGTCAGATCCCGAGTCGCTAAAGTGGAGAGCCCTTTCGACGACATCGTCCGATCTAAATGACGACAAACTAAAGGGCCCCACAAAATATATATGATATTGGATAACACCGTTGGATGACGAATAAATGGTCTAGAGGTTGAGCTATGGTTCTGAGTCCGAATTCTACGAGTGGGATCGTGGATTCTCACTGCTGAAGAGTCCCATACTAAGATGAGACGAACGTTCAGTACTTCGAGGTTTTCCATGGTGGTCTAACATCAGTCGGTTCATGATCTCAACCAAAAACTTAACAATCTCCACAACCCCTAAACTGATGATTTCAATTGTGTTTGGAGGCATTATTTTGGATATCTTAAACTAAGATTTTGTGTTTGTTAACGTTCATCAATGAAACACATTTGCAATTTAGGATTAACTTATGCTACTGATGGAATTTGAACACGCGCTGACTATTTCGGCAGTTATAGATCATTTATAAACCTTTAAGCCCTATATTAGATCATTCTCTACCTGAATAGATCAGTGATAATGTTTAAAAGATGAAAGATATATCTAATTTATAAGTGTGAGGAAATTTATGTTAATTATACTAAGTACATCATATCAAACAAATTGCACCACGGTGTTGGGTTACTTGGATCGGCAGTAACATTCTTACTTAATCACAATAAATCGTCCATAACTAAGAATTAAACAACATGACATTGATTAATAAGTAAACATACAATGAAAACTTCATGTTCTTCAAGAGAATATTACAAATTGTATTTGGAACATAAAACCAGTTGTCAAACAATCCACACTAAACTACTGATATCATCACTCATGTTTAATTTAAAAATAAGGCATGAATAAATGAAAATATAAAGAAACATATCAGCACGTTTAATTATGTCTATGAATAAAACTACAAAATAAAACAATTGACATTTTAATTATTTAGAATAATTAAGAAATTCGACAACTACAATAAAGATAATCACAAGTGAAACTTAATCATTATATTACTTCACATATATCGTGACTTTATATGTACTCATAAATGATGATTAAAAGATTTATTATACAGTAAAGTGTTGCTTTTGTTATTATAGGTCACAGTGAAAATATGAATAAGAGTTTAGATCAAGAGGTAGAGTTGATAAACAGTAAATCATTGTTTATGAATGCAAAAGTTTAATTTAATTCAAGTTCATCACTGTATAATTAATCACTTCTATTTAATCATTGCTTAATTATTTACTTAACTATACAGAAGAAAAAAAGAGATTGTTTATTTGTTATTAAAGGGACAGTGTTTATTTATAATAATTAACCATAGTTTTTATATATTGGAAAGTTATGTTTATCATTGACTTATCACTTTGTTAAACTAGATTTCACTTTCTCAGATGTATTTATCTCACATATATGTCCCAATGTGATGTTATATACTTGCTGGTAAGTAAAATTAGTTTATAACTCTGAAAGAAAAAAAAGTAAATTGTAAATTACTTGCTCAATATTAACGTGATGATTATTAAATTTAGAAGTTCTGTTTTATCTCCGGATAAATCTATTGTGTGCTTAGTAAAGAACTAACTGTCCTGTGGTCCGAATTCATCAGAGAATTATGTACTGTTATTGTTTTATAAACTTATGAACTAGTTTAATTCACTTGATATTGTTTACTTAAATCTTCCTATTGATGTTTAGGACTGCAATTGATCGGTCTCTTATTGGCATATGTGCATACTGTGTGTATTGCCTCAATATTGCCTTAATTCACAAGCATTATAAGCAGATAAATCCAGCCAACGAGTCCCAAATAGGATGAAACGCGCGTTCTGGGTTCCATTGCTAGCCACTATCCATATTTGGTATGAACTAATTGATTTTCCATGATCTTCGCCCTCAAAGGAATAAAGATAATTTTGAATAAAAAGCATTTTTCATCTAAGTAGCAGTCATTTTGATAAAAGATACCTAGTCAGTTACTCTCTCTAAATTCCTTCATAGCGCCGTACACCATGCTTTCTTTAAATGTTTATGTAGATATTATATTTATCACGTTTAGATGCATTCAAACATACAACGCATCAAAAAATGGCGAAGGATT